CGGGGCCGGGAGGCGTTCTTTCCCTTTCCTTCGGATTTGGTCTGTCGGGTTACTCCTAATTCCTGATGCGAGAGAGCGACCTCCCGCCCCCCCGCGGTTAAGAACTCCAAGCGGCATGCTTTGGTAGTGGCTCATCATGCCGCAGGGGCTTATCATACGCCCCGGCGACGTTCAATCGCCTGGTGACGCAACTGTTCCGCCCTTTGCGTACCTTCGTACAGACGTACTTCGACGACATATTCGTCCATAGCCGTGCCGAAGGAGGCAAGACAGCCATGGAGGTGCATCTAAGACACCTCCGTTGGGGTTGGACGTAATGCGAGCGAACAATCTCTACGCCAACATCGACAAGTTCGTTTTCGCGTCACCAGAGATTAAAGTTCTCGGTTGCTTCGTAAGCAACGTGGGCGTTCGGGCTGACCCAGACAAGGCCAAGGCCATAGCAGCATGGCCGACACCCCGATCCCAGAAGGATCTTTGAAAGTGGTTGGGCTTGGCCAACTACCTTCACAAGTACAGCGCAGGGTACGCGGGCTTCGCTAAGCCCTTGTCGAGCCTCCTTCAGAAGGACGTCGACTGGCGCTGGGAGCAAGAGCACCAGGATGCTTTTGACAGCATCAAGGCCAGTCTCCAAGAGCCCCCTGTCCTGGCCCTGCCGGACGAGACGAAGCCGTTCAGCGTCGTCTGTGATGCCTCCGATTACGCTATCGGGTGTGCATTGTTGCAGGCCGACACGCCTGGACACGAACGAGTCATCTCGTTCCAGTCCAGGCAGCTTAAAGCCGCCGAGCGGAACTACCCTGTCCACGACAAGGAGCTCCTGGCAATGAAATATGCCCTTGTGAAGTTTTGTGGTCACCTTCTGGGCTCTAGGCCCTTTGTGATCTACACAGACCACGCGTCCTGGAGGACGGCGACTAACTCGCCTCACCTCTCCCAAAGGATGGCGAGGTGGCCGTCCTTCTTCGCGGAATATAACTTCCGCGTCGAATACAAGCCGGGCAAGATCAACGTGCTTGCGGACGCCCTCTCTCGGCGTCCTGACTATGAGTTGACCCACATCACGCGGGTGACAACGGATCTATATGATCGGATACGCATGGCGTATCGGGACGATGAGGCTGTTGCGCCTATCGTCAAGTTTCTTATGGCAGAAACGAGCGCGAAGTCCGACTGACTCTCGTCGCGACAGCGCTCACGGCT